ACATTTTTTTTTAACTGTTCGTGTTACTTCGCTTCGCTTCTCGCTTCTTGCCCAAGATTTAGGAGCCTTAGTCGCTTCGGTTCGTTTTACGCCTTAAATAACACTGAGGCTGAAGACATACTAGAAGTTGAAATCCAAGAGGACAAAGAAAGTGAAGAATTATTGGCATCTGATGATAACAACCAATGTTATTTAAGGTGTAAAACGAACTGAAGCGACCAAGGCTCCTAACGCCTAGACGAAAAGTGAGAAGCGAAGCGACACGCTTTACCGAAGCAAAACGAACAATTAAAAAAATATATATATTTTAGTTTAATTAATTCTAAACAATCTAAGTTCTAATTTTATATATACTAAATATTTAAATGCAAATAAAACCATAAACATTTAAATTAAAACAAACACTAATAATATTTCAAATCTTAATAACAGTCATCACTTAAACATTTAAATTTAAACAAATATTAACAATTGTATACATTTTTATATTAACAGGGTAGGACAACAAAAGAAGCAAGATCAGGACAGCGGCAGAATCAGCGACAAAAAAAAAAAAGAAGCAGAATGAAGATAAAAAAAAACCGAAGCAGCAATAGAATCAACAAAAAAAATAGAAGCAGAATGAGCGCAAAAAAAAAAAATAGAAGCACAATGATTATGACAGGAACAGAATCAATTGTAAATAATTTTATATGTAATTATGTACTGAATAAAAAAAGCAGAACACAGACATATTTCACATGTACTAAAATAATTAAACATGGTATAAGCATAGACCACTTTTTGGTACCATTTGTATATATATAAGAAAAGGGAAAAGTATAGCAAAGACACTTCTTTGTAGAAGACTCTATTATTTACCCCCATTCTTGATACTCCTGCTTCCTTTCTTTATCATAATTTTGTCATGCAGTCACCTGACTCCCACATCCCACAAATATTTTAAATGAATTCAGCAACACAAGGATAAAAAAGGAATGTGTTTTGTTTGGCTCATTGCTTATCAGAAAAAAAAAAAATAGACCAACGATAGTCTAAAAAAAAAGTCATCAGTGATTAAAAAATAAGAGACTACTAACCTGTGATCAAAAAAAAAAATGGGAGCAGAATTGCCTCTTATAATAAATCGTTCGCTTTTTTGCTTTTCTCGCTTCTTCGCTTTTTCACTTTTTCTCGCTTCGCTCACGTTCGCTTCGCCAGGGGTCCTACAGGCGAGATAAGCTCGCCTCGCCTCGCTTCTCGCCTAGGCGAGGGCCTAGACGAGCTTTTCAAAACACTAATAACAACAATGATGATGATGCATTTCCAATTAAAATTGGAGATTGAGTTGAACTAAGAAGCACAGACACGAATACAAGACACAGATATGACACGGACACGAACACGTTAGCGATACGTTAAATAATATGAATTTTATATATATATATATATATTTATATAAAATCATGTGATAAAATAAAAATATTATCATAATAATCTTTTAATTCATCATTTTCTTAATTATAAAAATTTACACCATGATATCATTGCATAAAAAGTATAATATAAGATATATTGATACACATTTAACATTAGCATCCATAATTCAATAATCAATGACTTCTACAACTTTTAGTTTAAAAAAATATTCCATTTCGTAATACTAATTTTCATCAAATTCCAAGAGCTCCAATTGTTTAATCCTATTTTTTTCTTACATTATTTTCATATTAAAAAACTATTCCATTTGTATATAAGCTCGTATTCGTATCCAAAATTATATTAAATTCATGTCCTATATCCAATGTAATAACTATAACTTCTTTTATATTATGATTGTAGCTCATATCCCTTTTAAAATTATAAAAATAACTCTTAATTATAAAATTATCTGAAAAGTTCTCAAAAATTGAAAATAAATCTCAAAATATGTCCCCCCCCCAACGTGTCTCAATCTTAAACGTGTCGGCCACGTGTCCCCAACATGTCCAAAACGTATCCTTAAAAAAAATTAATAATAAAAAAATCGAACACTCATTTTAACATGTCCGACACGTATCCGAGCGTGTCCGTGTCTCAGACATGTCTAACACCAACACTCTGCCCAAAATGAAATAATCATGCTTCTTAGGAGTTGAAGATGGAATTCATAAGACTTATTTTGGATGTTATAAGTTAAAATTATGTTGAAAACTTGAATAATTTGTGGAATATTTATGAAATGAAATGTTATTATTACTTTTTTTGAAAGGTATATATTTATAAATAAATTATTTAATATTATGCGTATCGCGATACATTACGATACACTATTTTTGAAAAATAATTCGTTTTCTGATACTCGTTTTGACAACCTTATTTCAACCATAATATAAGATATTTATTGTCAAAATTCTAAACTTTGTTAATCACTTGTCAACACATATTTATTGTTTAGTAGTAAGCATGATCTAAAGAAATGTTAGACACGTGTCCAAAATTAAAATATTATCATTTAATTATGAACACGAATAAAAGATTATTAGACATGTGATGTAGATCGTATTAGCTCTAATACCAAATTGATGTAGATCGTATTAGCTCTGATACCAAATTGATAAAAACAAGGAAGGCAAGAATTAAGGATGAGAAAAAAGAAGAAGGGGATGAGAAAAGAGAAAGAATTTAAGAAGGAAGCAATATCAAGATTCAATAAAAATCAAAGTCTAAATAAAACCCATGCATGCATCCCTTTAAATAGGAAAACCAAAACCCTAAAACAAATAAATAATGAAAAATAAACCCTCAAAAGTTAAAAGAAATTACTTAAAAGATAAATATTAAAAGTATCTAAATAACTTTTATAACTAATCTATAATATCTATCTAATTCTTACACGATCCCCAACAACATATGTCTGAGACTGTCCTAAGTGTGTCAATGTCCGACACAATAGTATACCTTCTTGTGAATGTCCCGCACAAACCTTCTTGAAAGTATCTGTGTTTCATAGCTTATCTCTAGTCAATTAGCATGAATTTTAGATTAAAAGATCATACTGGCCAATCATTATCAATTTTTTTATAGACAATGTGTGTGCATATATGTATGTTTTCATCTTCATAATACCTCTTCTTCAGCAAAATCTTTTATGCATATTTTGATTTTCGTTTTAACCATTATTACAACTTTACCATGACTAGTTTTAAAAACTACATATTCATTCATAGTATAAGATAGTCATTTTTCACCTTTAAAAAGACCCTCATTTGTCGTATTTTGAGTTTTGTTAAATTATATGTCTATGTATTTTATATTTTAATTGTAGATACTACCTAAAGATATCGACCTCATCACCAACGCGTGTCCAAAATTAAAATCTTATTTTCTAATCATGGACACAGATAAAAGAGCATCGTGCACATGTCAAATATTGTCATAGAAGTGTAAGTGGTCCATATGGACACATCTAATTTGTAAGATTGACATGCTTCTTAGCTATGCAACATTAGTATAGGTGGGGCACACATGTCTATACCAAAAATAATCCAAGTGAATGAATAAGATAAGTGGATGGGATGGAAAAAACTCAACTAGCCTATTAATGAAGGGATCAACTAGTTGGGCAGAGGATAGGTGGATAGAGAAAATGCTCTCACCAGCCAGGTAGTAACACAGTGGGCAAGTAATGTGGTATTTATAGCATAGTACCCAAGTGGGCTGCCCACCGCGACCTTCTGACACTCGCGTCAACCCACAATTGCTTGACCGCAACCCTAACACTCACGTCAACCCACAATTGCCTTGACGGGAGCAATACCAATAGCCACTAATCACGCACCATGTGTCCCAAGATTAATGAGACAGATGTGATGTTTCCTCAAACACAACCTAGACGTGACCCCAAGGAAGGTGTCACAGCCAAGGCAAAAGCAGACACTTAAGATTAATGGTCACAATTAGTCATCACAAGACCATGACCTCGATAGGGCCATGTACACAGTGACCCCAATGTTCTCTTACCCTGGGTCCCCTCTTTCCTCTCTAAACCCTTCCTTGAGACGTTTGTCAAAGTGTCCGACGGAGCAAACTCACATAGTTTCAATCCTTCAACCACCAACTCATATGTCTCATTATCTCATATGTTGATGCAGACCAATGACACCAATTATCTTAGGAGTTCCTTCGGGATCCCAGTCAATCAAATCCAAGTGAGTCATACACTCGAAGGCCTGGTTGAGCAAACTAAACTTTCGAGACTCTACCTTAGGCCGAGATTGATAGTCATGCTCGTTCGCTCCCGTAGTTCAATTCTCCCTTGACTAGGGTGATTCTACCCTATCTTTAGGTGGGGACCCCTCATCTTAGTGCACTGGACCAGTCAAAAAACAGTGTCCCATAGGTTAAAGATACCAATTTCATCGACTATGTAATCCCAACCTTGTGCCTTGTTTTCGCAACGGAGAAGACAAGTCACGCCAAGGTTGCCCCTAGACTTTCATGATGCCACTCTTGTCCGTCCTCAGTCAAGGGCCTGTTTTGACACTTTCAATGTGATTAAGATGTGTCCAACCCTTCTGCGGTACTGGGTGCTATCACAATGTTGGGTGCCTGTCGTGACACTGTGGTACTGATGCCTACCGTGGCACTGGAATGTTGTTGTAGCACTGTTGTCTGTATCGATCCTTTTGGGCCCTATTGAGCCCCACTGTCATGTAAGTTGTCAACTTTTTCCATTTGTCACCTCATAGTGTGGACACATGTCTTAAATTTATCGGGTACTACAGTTAGTAACATAATTATTTGTACAAGGGCGCAAGGGACACTTATGATTTTATTCGCATTAACGAGGAAGAGCATCACTTCATTTCCCAAAGAAATACATACATGCATTATCAAGTAGGGCATCCATCTTTAGAGCAAATGTGATTCTAGTTGCATTACAACTAAAACCCTTCATTTTTCTTCTTTTTGATTTTAGCAACATGTATTACAACCTTTTTCCTATGTCACAAACCAACAGGCCAAGCCCAAATAGACATCTAAAGGCATGTTTCCGCTCTAAGGGCTGAAACTACATCAGCAAAAATAAATGAATTAACCAATCATGATCATAATTGAGGGGAAGATTATGACTTCATGAAGCAAATCAAATGCAAAAGTAGAATCATATTGTAAAGGAAAAAACATACTACAGTTCTCGATACTAAAGTTTTGTTTCAAAGGAGAGAAGACCTAATACTGTTACTTGCCGAAATGGTGCATTATGTGGACAAGGAATGAGGAGACCACTGATTGTATTTTCCTACACTGCCCGATTTCTCAGTCATTATGGAGGAGATTATTCGCTTTAGTAGGCATGTGTTGGGTTTCACCATTTTCATGTGAATCAATGATTGCAATTGATTTTGGGGTCGGGAAGAATATGAAAGCACATTCTCTACAGAATTGTGTGATTTGGCAATTTTTCAAAATTGGTGGCTTGAGAGGAATGTCAATATTATCGAAGATAAGTTTGATGAAGGAGATTTCGGGGGAAAGAGTTCGATTCTTGACTTCTTTCTGGGTTTCAGTTTCGAATGATTTTCTACATATCTCTATTTCTGATTAGGGCAGATGGGAGAGCTACTTTGTGGAAGGTAAATTTTTTATAATTTTCATTCTTTCCTTTCTTTTCATTCTATAGGATTGCTCATCCTTCACCTTCATGTAATTATTTCATACTTAAATATTTTTTATGTTGCTTGTAAAAAAATATGCCGTTGTTCTAGTAAACAAGTCTAAAGTTACCACGGTCGATGGCAAGTGTAGAGGGATCAAATCATATGATAATCTTTGAGATATCACGATAAGTGAGCATGACAAAAAAAGTAACATAAATGATTGATGCAATTGATGATGAATCTTGATATACAACTATTTTTCAAGCCAAAAAATGCCAAACGATGGATCATTGGTTGTTTTGCTTCGATGACAATACATTTTGAAGACAATGTTTGATACATACCGAATCCCAATATGGTGGAGCAAATTAAAAAGCCAGGTAGAGAGAAGTCCATTTTGTACACGATCTCCATGACAATTATACATCCTCCAGCAACCATTAAATGCCTTGGAGAAGAGAAAACCATATGCAATCTACAAATAGATAAAAGCCATAACCAGTCATAATGAGCTCTAAATGATAACTGCCAGATTACAAAACTTTTCAAATCGAAGAACATTGAGATGAGAACAAAATCGTGGATTAAGTCACATCAATAGAAGCCGGAATTTTTTTATACATGTGTGCAGAGGAATTTTAGGGAAAAAAAAAAGATGAAGCCAAAAGCAATGATCACATGGTGTCTCCGCTACAAAACATTCTGGAACAGAAGAAGAAAGATGCAAACAAAAGCGCAAAGCAAACAATCTGGAAAACATGCCAGTTTAGAGTCATATAAGACTAATGCCATAATGCGAACATAATAATAAGAACTTTTGTGCCAAAATGGAGCGCGAGCTAGGACTTCATAACTTAAGACTCTAAAACAATGCAAGACTAAAGGATCTTTTAGAGAAAGTTGAAAAAACTTCCCTCCATCGTTGCTAGTGTTTCCTGTTATTTGCTTTTTCTTTTTTCTTTCTTTCTTTCTTGTCGATGGGGGCAGGAGTGTTTGGTAGGACCAGAAAAATCATTACCTTTAATCAAGAGTGAAGCAAAAACTGTATTGTAGAGAGATTGTTACCAATTATTTCTAAGCAAAAAGGTTCAAGCAGTAATAGTTGGGACTTCAAACAAAAATAGAATTGTTGCACAAAAAAGAAGATCATATAGACTAGAGAGTGCACCAAGTCTTTCTGCTTCTCTTCACAACATCAAAACCCATTTGACTGGCTAGGTAGAAACTGAATTGTTCCAAAATTTAAATATTGTATGAAATATAGAAGCAAATGTTTCACTTTTTTCCCCCCCTCTTTTCTTCTTTATTTTTTTGGGATAAGTCAGGGGCTAACACTGAATTCAACAAAAACAGAATGTATATAGAAACTTTGTAAAACTATGGCAAAGGGAAAGATATACCTAACAGGAAGTAAGGACCTAGAATCCCAATGGATGGAATATCTAATATCCAAAAAGAAAAACTGAGGCAGATCAACTCCATGAAAGCCATGTAAATAAGAGGTTAGTATAATTCCTGAAACATTGAATAGTAGACAAAAACAAGTGGGTGGGGCAAAAGAGTTTAAGGGAATACCAAGTAAATAGAAAGAAGCTGATTGCAATAAGAACTTTAACTTTCAAGCATCAAGAAAATATAAACCTTTGTTAGTCTAACCAATAAGCATGTCTGTTGAGTAAAGTAAAAAGAGTTATGAATGATGCTAATGATTGTGGAGAACATATATGCTAGAATGCAATTGAGAGCACTATTGGCAACAAAATTTGATTCACAAGTTTGCTTACAGGGAATCTGCAAAAGATTGCAGCATGCATATTCCAACACAAAAATAGGAATCAGTGAACCATTAATCAAGAAGGAGAATCTAATCCATCATACAAAAGGGTACCTCTCCTCTGCAATGCTGTCAACATAAAATATAAGTATAATTCCGAAGAGGATAGTGCTTGAAAAAGCCCATGCAGAAAATGGCAACTCTACGCTGGTTGATCCCTGGAGTATTCATGTCAGCAGAAAGAAGAAAGCAATTGTCAAAAAGCCAAAGCCAATGGGATATGTGCGCAAGGGTGTGAAAGAGAGGGAGAGACAGATAGAAGCTCTCCTAGTTGAACTAAGCACCACAAACTATAGGGGAGGAATCCATAGAGGTAAACTTACTATAATCATGTCCCACATGGCCACAGGAAACAGAAAACAAGTTGTGGCAGCGATAGTTATTGCATGAAGTCGCCTCTTAAGTTGATTCTAATACAAATGGCAACTATTAGTAATTACAACTTTTAACAGAGCTTTCATTAGAAGTAGAAATTGATGAATATTCATCATAGGAAATGCACAAGAGAGCGTACATAGATGTGTCCATACCTTGAGTGAGACACGTCTTGCAATCACTCTTCTCAATGCTGATAAGATTCCAGCAAAGATGGGAATTACCATTTCCTTCATTCCCAATCCTTGTTCTGTCTGAGGTTCTTTAACAAGGCTATCATTAAAAGGTACTTTCTGGTTAAGGTTGACGTCATCCATGTGAAATCTGTTATCACAGTTAATTAAAAATATTTTTTTGATTGGGTTGAGGGGGAAGTTCCTGTGCCAGCTAATTTAAAAGAGTGACATGAATTTATTATGAAAACTACTGAATGTACAAGAGGATATATAATGGAGAATATGTTGCCATGGCCCATCCTTGAGATAAGAAGTAGAAAGAAGCCAACATCGCAACGAGTCCGCCCACCTGATTAAAGGGGAGAAAACATCATCCAACTGATAAGCTGAAAGGAAAAGAATGCAAGTTATGCATTTCACTTTTATTACATCTGTGGACAACAAAGAGCAATTGTTGTAGGTCTTATTTGTCAATGCCAAAGTTCACCTAGACTTAGGAATTAACCATGCCACAAATCTGACACTGTAACCACTATGTCATACCTATGATTTATGAAAATAACCATCTTCATCCCTGTTAAATATGCCATAGAAAATCTAGACACAAGTAAATGAATGGTGAATTTAAGGAAAGCATCCACCAAGAAAAGTCTTGCTCACAATCACCAAAATGAGCAATTTTATGTTCAATCACTCATTCACATGTCCTCCAGAAATTCTTACGCCAAATCAAGCACTAGGAAAAAAAACTAAAAACACTAAAATGTGAGAATCTAAGACAGTTACCTTTTTCCAAATATGGCCTCTATTTCCATACAATACTCCAGATAATACTCCAAGAACAGCACCAGAATACTCAGCCAAAATAGCCCTGAAATATTGAACAGGAAATCAAAATAAAAGTTGCTAATAGATCAAATATGTAGGAGAACACCATATAACCAAATTGATGGGGAGAACAAAAGAAGAAACCAGAAACTAGACGAACCGTACCTAGCAGGACCGCATGTCTTCAGGCCCTTTCCCCACAATATAAAGTACAGAGCTGTTATGCCACCATTTATTACAGAAGGCACTACCTGTAAAACCATGATTTGAACAATTCCTGATTTATACAAGTTATTTAACACTGAAAAGCAACAGTTCCATTCTGACCTGGGTATTGGACAATGGCCTTCCCTTCCAAGGCTTCTGTAGAACTAAGAAAATAATGGACGACGGAACTAGACAACTGAACACAAACAGTACAACTGAAGCCCCTGTTTCAGACAAGTACCGGTACATGGAATAAACCGACCATATTCTCAACAAATTCCCAATAATGTGGATTATCTGCAATGGCGTGTGCCTGTACAATCAAAACATCTTCATCAGTTTAGGGCTCGATTTTCTTTCTAAGCTTTCTTTTCCCTAAAGTTTCTCGGGAACCAAACAGGAATAGGAATGTGGATTAAAATTAAGGTTAACAGTAATGTAATAGAACACTTTACCTGAAATTAGCGGGATGAGAAGAGCTTCCTCGATCTTCAGATGTTTGCCTTGGAGACATCATCTTCTCAGATTATTCTAGTTTTTTGTCCCACTGTCGATCTCTATCGCTTAGCTTAATACAAAGTGCAAATGAAAGAAGAAGCTAAGTATAGAAATATATTGATACAGAGAAATTTCTCGTTTTCTTCTTGGAGTACAGAGAGATCTCTGAAGATGAAGTTGAATCTCCTGAAGAGCGAGAGCAGAAAGCCGAGAAACCTGAGTCTCTCTATGGGGCTGGACCTAAATGGGCCGACATCCTCACAGGCCTTATGATTTTACAGAAAAAAAAAAGATTTTTTGAGGTATGTGTATATTTTTTTCAAATTTTTTTGCCATTGAAATTTAATTTTAATAAATTATCTTGTGATTTAGTATAAAATTCTAATAACTTTTAAATTTTTTTATTTACTTATCATTCCTTAAATTATGCATAATTTTTATTTTCTTCATCTCTCTCCCCTATTTTTTCTTGATCTCCTTCTTTGTTACGCTCCTTTTATCTCTCCGCTATTATCTCTCTATCTCTTGTTGATAATTTATTTTCTTTTTAAATATGTAAATGTTTGATTTATAATAATACAATTGTACTAATCAGTTACAATTGTCATATAATACACCAAACAATTATTCATGTATTCTAATAAAAACAAACAGTTACATCAAACAATTACACAAAATTATGACATCAACTCAATTTGTCATTCAGAGAATTATACCATTTAGTATTACGACATGGTTACACTAATTATATACACCAAATTTGATCTAATGTTGAAGTTTTTTGTGTAATGATAAACTCAATTTGGTGTATACAATTAATATATTATGGGGTAACTAGCAATTGTTCATACCTAAAGGCACTATATAAAACAAAAAAATGCAAACAACTACCTATGCTTACGATAGCGCTACATAACACAAAACAAAAATTCAAAAGATAGAAAATTTTATTGATTCAAATAATATATATATTATAATTTGTTTCAAATACAAACCTGGCGCACAATTAAAAGAAACCAAAATTCAATTCGTTGGTCAAGCACAATATTCTGAATTCTACCTTCTAAAAATGAAAAAGTAAGGGCATGAACCTACTATTTGAAGTTGTTCAGCCACAAAATGGTTCACTTCCTCAAAACTATAATTTCTAGAATTGTATTCTCGTCCTTGCCAATGAGAAGTTCATATGTACTACACTTTACAATCTCAAATAGTAACAGAGTTTTCAGAGGTAATATTATAACCATAGGACAAATACTAATACTTAAATTTTTGAAACTATACATTGTCTTTATTATTGAAACCTCAGCCCAAATTACGGTTCCTCAACAAATTTCCAGAACTTCCACTCCATTGGATGCCCAAATTCCACTTGTATCGATGCCAATCATCTTATATTTACCTTCTCAAACCAACCATATAAAAACATCAAAACTATACACAGCCAATTAGAAGACATTTAATCACCTACATTTTCATCCACTTCAATACCTGGACAATAGTCAAGCAAGGTACAAACTATTAAGATAAACTCAATTCACATCAAATCGAACCTAATTATAGTAGAAATATATATATATGTTTGTAAAAAAATGAGAGAATTAAACCTTTTTTTAAAGCTTAAACCTCCAAAAGGCAAGGATTGGTTTATTTATTAAAATTATAAAGAGGGGAGACTTATGACCTTACAAACTTAAATAAATAAAATATGACCAAAGTTGCTTATTTGCAAGGAAATCGAGATTTACCAGCTTTGGAACATTGGTTCCTCCATTCTCAAAAACTTTACGTGATTTTAGTTGTCACATCCTTCAACTATTGTAAAACTTAAGGTTCTCCAAAAATTTCGAGGTTGCATTCTATTAATTCCCATAAATTTGACCATCTAGTTACATTTTCCAAAAGAACTCAACTGCCAAAAAATCATCTCCAATCGATAATGAATGGCAAACTTTCATATATGTTGTATCTTTGAAAAATTCCTACCCTAAAACACCAAAACTAAGTTAACCTTTTATAACTCTTTAGCATTTTAATTTGCAATCCAATGTATTAACCACATGTAGTTAAGGAAACAATACGTAATGTCAAGTATCTGATGTATAGTTCACAACATTAAAAGAATAGATCAAACAACATCCTACTTGGGCCTTATTATCAATTTAAGAAGATGCCCTTTAAATGTTCTAATCAATATAGAACAGTAAGAACTACCCGTGTCTGAAGGGACTGTGTAGTAAACAAAAAAAATGCAAGTGAAAGCACCCATAACATAAAATATCACCAATCAATACGGATCCACTATTTTTTTTTTTGAAAAAAGTCAACAGCACTTCTTCAAATTTCCTCGCAGTGAGTAGCAATTACAAAGCCCAAACTATTTATTCACAATATCTACCAAATCAAGTTTCTTTTTATTTTTTTGGGCATAACCAACCAAATCAAGTTCAAGTATAACATAAACTGCACATCATTAACATCCTAATTAAGAAAAGACTTTGAGATCAACTTTTTCATTTCATATAAAGAAAAGTTTAGTTCCAAATTCAGAGATATTAAAACCCAAAATGCATAAGAGAATTGCAAGTACAATACCGTCGTATTATTAACCCAATAATGTTGCTTTGCAGAACCTAAAATACTCCATAGCATAGCCTGCACCAAGAATTTCAATATTAGTAAATAAGCAATTATGATAATGATACTCAAGGACCCGTGGTAATAGAAATTGTAATAAATATCAATATTAATTGCACAACATTAGTGGATGAAACAAGTTCACAAAATTTTCAACAAACACACTGGAAAAAAAATCAATCTTCAATGAAAACATGTTCAACTTGATTGATAAACTCCATATTCCAAATCCGGTACTTTATTAGCTAGATAAGAACTTTACGTGGCTGTCCATTGTACCAATTCAACTCAAACGGCCGAGACTATTAGGATTTTTGCTGGCATTAGACGTGAAATTTGAAAGTGTGAAATTTAGTCTGGGAAACCAAGCAAAGCAATCAAGCGTATGTTGACAAAAAAAAAAAAAAATCAAGGAGGCATAGAAGAAACTTGAAAAAAAAGATTGTGTGTAGCGAGTGCATCCGAGAGATAGAGAGGCAGTATGAGCAGGGATGTGTTGCTACATGTGTGTGCATGTGAGTGTGTTGTGTGCATGCTTGAGACAGAATGAGGGAGAGATAGAAAAAGGGAGTAAGGGAGGGAATTATCAAGAGTTGGTTTGTCGAATTTGTGTCAATTTTTTTGACTATGTACGTGTGTGAGTTACAGGGGTTGTGTGTGTCGATGTGGAGGATTAGACTAGAGGGCGTGAGAGGTGGATCGAGTGGTGATGGTGGGGGGAAGAGAGAGAGAGTACCCGGATGGCGTTGGTAGCAGCGGTTGGAGATGGAGTGGATGGTTGCTCCAACAAAGAGAGACGGGTGAGACTAAGGAAGTCCACTAAGAGCATCTCGACCATGATTATTTGAGTAAAAAACTTGATTTGATTCAAAGAGCTCAAATTTAAAGAAAGAGAAACCTAAATTTAAATGAGGACAAACCTAAAATTAAATGAGAGTAAAGATGATCATTAGATCTTAAAAAGAGGGTAAAATCTCATCATTAAAGATTTTGGTAAAGATATGAGTCTCCTTTAATTTGACTAAAAAAAAGAGTCTCCCTTAATTTGATATAAGTTTGAGTAAGGGTTGGAGCAAATTTTTAGATTTTTTTACTCAAATTTAATTTTGAATCTAAATTTGAGTCAATGTTAGAGATGTCTAATAGAACAGGAAAGAAGATAAGAAATGAAATGAAAGAATTGATAAAAAGGTTGGAGAGAGAGGAAGTCAGCGGGAGGGAGATAAAAGGAAGTGAGAGAATGATAGAGAGTAAGACTTAATTGGGGGAAAGAGACAGGAATTACTTGACTGGGTCATTTGATTAGGGCATAAAATTGGAAAGAAAATCAAAGATCACATAGAGAATATATTCTTTTAAGGAAAGAAGATTAAAAATATCTTGCTAGTTAAATGCATGAATGCAAGATGAAAATTCAATTTTGGAAAGGAATTGTCAGATTTGATTGGAGAGAGAGAGAGCAATAAAGTTAGGGCAGCTTGTAATTACCGGATTTGATTATTTGACCTGTTGGGTTGATTAAATTTTGGAATATCAATTTTGAAAACTAAGAATTTTGATGAGCAAAAATATTTTAAAAGAGCTAATGTGGTACGTCGGATCAAAACGATCTGAGACGTCAATAGCTTAAGACAGTTTGGGATAACGACGTTTATTGGATGATGACTTTTTTGGTTACAAAATGATCTAGGCCGCTCTTTGTCTGTAAAATTCAAAATTATTTTACTTTATTATATAAATTGTAACTGCTTGATGTAATTATATTATTGTAACGTTAATATAAGGAGAGAGAATAATGAGAGAAGGAGTAATGGTGAGAGAAAAAATGGGGAAAGAGATTGAGAGAGTAGAAAAAAATAAGGCAGAGAGATGAAAAAATTAAATCAAATATTTACATATTTAAAAAAAAAAATTTATCAATGTGAGAGAGAAAGAAAGACATAGATAGAAAAAAAATAGAGAAGAGAGAGTGAAAGAGTAATGGACTAATTAATACCCTTTTAGTATTTTTTTTTTCAAAAAAAATGCATTTATTGCCAAATAAATTTCCTTAATGTAGTTTAACTTAGTTAAGTCCAAATTTTGGAACCGACTTATAAATTCTCAAAAAAAAAAAAAAAAACCATGGGAACTATTTGATTTTGTTTTGGGATAGAGCCTAAGATATTTTTCTAGCAATGTACACAATAAAACAATGATGAGGAAATATGTTAATTTGCATAAACATAACTAATGGGTTTGATGTCGAAAATCAGTCTTCAAAAAAAAAAAAGTAAAGTTGCTTATTATTTACATCTACTAAAGCATGATATGAGTGAGAGAGCTGGGGATCTCAATCCAACAAATAAGAAAAAAAAAAATACTTATAGGGTTGGTCCTATAAGTATGAATTTTAATTTGTTTTTCTCTATCATGATTATATATTTATATTTATTTACATAAAAGGCACTTGAGAAAGGAAAAATAATTAGAGACCAATGTTTATTACAAAACAATTTTCACATTCAGATTAATATAAAAATTG